AAGGAGTTGTACATGGATATGTAAAAGTTATCAAAATGAAAACAGTATACCAGTAGAAAATGAAACAGGCTCATCAACCTAGGAACCGTCCTGACGCAACCTTGGCAGACTCAGAGACCAGTCACTAGTCATTCGAACTTGTTACATATCGGTGAATACGAGACCAAGAAACAACGCAATAGCGTGGTCGGGCGGAATAGTATATTTGTGTGGTCGGGCTGAGATACCGATGCGTCCCAACTCGCCGGCCACAGGGTCGACCACAAGCGGCGCAACGTAACACGACGGCGTGCCAAGTGGCGAGGGTGCTCGACCGGGTGCCTTCAGCCTAGAGATTACAGTTCCTTTCATAACTTGTGGAATCTTCTGATGTTCTGATCAAGTTTACTGACCTCCTTTTATTGCAAGTCAGGTCACTTAAAATCTTGTACATTTGTAGCGTGGCACACTTCTCTAGAATCAATAGCCTAGGGTTCGGCGAGATTCAACATTAATGCTGACCTTTATAGTTTTACTGGGCTGGATAAGCTGAAGGCACCCGGTCAAGCACCCTCGCCGTTTGGCACGCCGTCGTGTTACGTTGCGCTGCAGTGACCTCTAGTATGCAGTGTAGCGAATATGAGCGTTGGTTGTACGATAACTTCACAGGCCCCACACCCTCAGAATACAAGATGCAAAGCAACGCAGAAGGTGTCTGGCTTTGTACTTTGTGCTGCTCGGATATTCGCACTCCAGTGGAAGGAGCGAAAACACTTCTAAATACGATGACTAAGAAACTGTCGTTGAAATTCAAAGCCAATAACTGTGGCAGTGATAACGACACAGAATCCATGGATGCACGAGATCTTAAGAACGTCCCACGACAAGCTGTAAGTCGAGCGCATAGACTACCTGCCAGGTTTGCTGGTGGCGACTTGGGAAAAACTACACAAAGCAGGTTGAAGCGAGTATCTTCTGGATCTCGCATCCTGAGAGCTGGCAGACCTAGTCTGAAGATTGCTGACCGTAAGACCAAGTCTACTTCAGAGGAAAGAAATAGGAGTGAAGCGCTCCTAGTTCCAACGGCAGAACTATGCAAGCCGCAGGTCAAACCTATTTTAGCGACACGATCATTGACGTTCTGAAGCCCTCAGTATCAGGGCCACTGGACTGCGCTTTAGTAAACCTTGCACACCCGACTCTGAAAAATGGCAAGTAACTAAGCCTAAATGGCATGCTAAGAAGCCAATAATGGTAACAGAAACAGCTTTCATCACTCCACGTAGCAAAGACAGAGTAGAGATCCTTGACAGGTCCGTGATTTTCCGCAGAGTGGAAGAAAGCAGAGACCCAGAACCACGTAAACTTTTCGAACATGACCCTGGCGGGGTACAAAGTTCGATAATTCAGCTTTTGCCAAGAAATATGCCAGTAGTCACCCCACCCAAGATACACAGAGTAGGCAAACAGGAGACGGTCATTGCTGAAAATAAGTTTAGGTTGCTTAAAGTCGCGTTCAAGTCAGCGGATGAGAGGAATCAGATTCTGAAGAATGCTCACACACTTCAAGAGTCTAGAGTGCTCGTGCAAAAGGATCTGGCTCTTGCTGATCGAGTAAAAAACGAGAATCAGAACTGAAGTCCAGATTAGCAGCTGGAGAGCAAGAGGTTTCAGCCATAAATGATGCCGAAGCCTCTATGGATAGGACGGAAACTCATTTAAGTAGTTTCGTTGTCTTGTACACAAATGCATGCAGTCTTTTAAACAGGTGGATTGAGCTTAATAATGTGAAAAGCAACGGAAGCCCTGACATCATTGCGGTCTCAGAAACCTGGTTCTATTCGTGGATCAGTGACCGTGAAGCACATTTACAAGGATTTGTCCCCTTTAGAAGTGACAGGTGAGCATGCAAAGGTGATGGTGTCATCCTTTACGTTAAGAATAACCCAACTGTACAAGCGTGGAAACAGCTGCATATGAAAGTGGGACATGTGAAATGCTGCGCTGTCGACCAAAATGCAAGGGGCAAGATGCTAACTCAGTTGTAATGTATCGAAGCCCTGATTGTGAGTCAGCAGACTTCTTCCCGAGTAATCTGACCCTCTAGGCAGCTAAATGCCGGTGTCTAGTAGTAGGAGACTTCAACGGACCATCAGTTGACTGGGATAGACTAACAACAAAAGCACCATGTGATTCTTTCGACTGCAGGCTAGTGGAAGCATCAATTTCCTTAGCCCTCACACAGCACATTAGGACGCCAACCAGATATGATCATCAGCGTGCTCCATCAGTTCTGGACTCAGTACTCCCACATACGGATGATGTATGCTTCATCCGGTACCCAGCACCCCTTGGTTAAAGGGATCACTCTGTGATCACCTTCAGATTTACATCAGACGTCTTGTACCAGACCGATGCCCCAACTGGGCTCAATATATGGAAAGCGAACATGGAAGCTGATAACCTGGAAACGTCTTCGGAGGACAGGACAGTCACTCCAGGAGCCTTAGTTGTCGGTGCGTGGCTCTCCTCTAAATCTTTATGTGCACAAGTGACTCGACCGTTCACTCCATGGACTGTCCTGAGGGGACGGAAACGCCGTCCTCTGTGGGTAGACCAAGAAATCCAAATCTTGCTACAGTGTAAGAAAGTTTTAGAGTCTCGCCACCCCGTCGGTATACCCGAAGATGTGAACCACTACAAAGAAGCTCGCAATAAATGTATCGCTGATATCCACCGGTCTCGAATATGCTTTGAAACACGTCCTGCCCGAACTGCACCGCAGCATCAGAAGGAGTTAGTTTCTTATATGAACTATGGAAATGAGACGTGCCGCTGTACACCCGCCCAAACCAATGAAGCAGAAGATGACTGTTTAATTCAGGATGACGGGGAAAAAGCAAAGGCCATGGCTAGACATTTTACCGAGGTCTTCGCACAGGAATCTCCTGTGGACACTTGTTTAACAGTAGAAACATTGACGTCCAGCAGAATAAACACTGTGGGTATCGATCGCAGTGATGTGTCTCAGATGTTGAGTAATCTGGACGGTGAAAAGCAAGGTAACTGGATGAGCTGCACCCAAGGCTGCTCAGAGAGCTTACGCTGTATGTAGCCGGTCCATTGACTACTATATTTAGACTGTCTCTCAGTCAAGGTACACCCCTACATGACTGGAGGGATGCTATAGTGACGCCTATTCACAAGGCAGGTTCTGGGCAGCTTCCATCAAATTATAGACCGATAAGTTTGACCAGTACTGTAGTGAAAATCCTGGAAAGATTAGTCGCGAAAGCCATCACAGTCCATCGAGAGAGCAACACTCTATTGTCTCGTTCACAGCACGGTTTTCGTAGAATTTTCTGTCGCTTGACGAACCCTCTTACAGCCAGAGAAAGTCGGGTTAGGTCTTAAGATGATAGGATACCTGTAGATGTCATTTTCCTTGACTTAAGTGAGACATTCCACAAAGTATCCCATTCCAGGTTGTTCGGGAAGCTGGAAAGTTGTGGAATCACTTGCAGTCTGCTTGCATGGATAAGAGACCTTCTTACTCACAGGAGTCAAAGAATAAGAATCAATTCACAACTCTCCACTTGGAAGTCGGTAGAGAGTGAAGTGCCGCAAGGCAGAGTCTTGGTCCCTCTACTGTTTCTCCTGTACGTAAATGAGCTGCCAAATATGAAGGTCCGTGTGGTTCTCTACCCCGATAATGTAAAAATCTGGCGGGAAATTAGGAACGATGAGGATATACGTGGGCTACAGGCAGACATGGACAGCTTATTGGCCTGGTCAGAGAAGTGGCTGATGCCTATCAGTGGAGGTAAGTGTGTGAGCATGCACTTAGGGCACACACACAGCAACACCTACGATATTGATGGGACTTCTTTATCGTCAGTACTGACCCACACTGACCTAGGAGTCACGGTGAGTTGTGACTTGAAAACCACGGCTCACTGTCAATTAGTAGCAGCTCGGAGTTTTAGGACTCCCTGGGTACAACACAGAACGTTTACGAAAACAAGTGGTGACATGTTCACATCCTTGGTTGGATCCAAATCAGAAAACTGTACACAGGCGGCCAATCCTTGACTGAAAGGTGACTCAGACCTTCTTGAAAGAGTTCAGAGGGCAGCCACTCATATGATCCCTGCGATGGCCGGCCATACTTATGAAGACCGACTCAAGGATCTGAACCTCTTCACTTTATCCTATGGCAGACAGAAGGAAGACCTAATCATGCTATACAGGATTCTAAGAAATGACTTCAGACCCGATCCATTCTCTCTTTACCTTCCTCAGAGGACACAGTAGGAGACTACAAAAGCAAAGAACAAACAGTCTCCGCAGAGTACTGGTTAACGAGTCGAGTAATCAACGCCTGGAACCGACTCCCAGAACTGTTGTCCGCATCACCAAATGACCTGTTCAAAAGGGGGTTGGAAAAGAACGGAAATCCACTGGAAAAGGATTAATACAGACCCCCAGCCTCCTACCTCAAGCAACAAATCTGAATCTAAATGTATTAATTCTGCAGAAGAGTATGACACCACAAGTTGAATATCTGCTCACTTTCCTGCACTTTTCTGTTTTAAGCAGCAGGGGGGTCCCATGCGTTAGACGTTGAGTCGTATGCAGTTGTGTCTTGTGAATAAAGGCATTATCTAATCCTTGTATTCTCGATCATATCCTAAATTTATTTGTTTATTACGTCGAATTATCATTAGGGCTGCATGTAAGTCCTTTACGAAAGCTTCAGAAAGAACTCGACAGGAACATGTCAAAACAAATCTATTTAAATTATTACAGACAAATGTATTAGTTGCAAGTAAGACTTTTACATGAGCTCAGTAGTTGCCCGAACAAATAACAAAGTTGCTATACATGTATTGTTAAATAGAATGCAACTTTTATATTTAGCACTCCTTCGCATCACTCCTAATAAATGTCTATGAAATAATATCTGCTTGTCCATGGTCATCTCCTTCAATTTCTATATGGTTCTCATTTGTTTTTATGTTTGAAATTAATGAATTAACTTTTTGGTCAATAGTTTGATTTTTTCTATGCGAGGTTCGTGGTTTGCAATGACAGTAATCTAGACTTAGTTTTTTAGTTTCGTTGTTATTAGGCTTACTAGTGCGTACTGATTCTGTCAGTATAAATCTTTGTAAAAATATGATTATTCCTTGCAAGCATTCACCGAAGGATCTGCCACATCTAGTACTGTTAGTAAGCTTCAGTTTCTGATCGCCCTGAGAGAAAGTGGGTTCACTCATAGTTTATTCTGCCGTGAACTTTGAAAAATTTTATGATGGCATCCTAGTTGGTCGGTGGTAGAAGAAGTAGAAGACTAAAGAGATCAATACCGAAGTCATTATTCAAGATATGACGGACTAATATATTAGACTGCAACTTCTCCTACCATATGGTTATGGAAAAAGTCTTAGACTTTCTAGCCGTTCATCATAGAGGTGTGGAAATCACTTTAGTAACTTCATATTCATCTTATGTACCGGTTCCAGAGTGTTTGCTTCTTGCTTGAAGCAAGCACTAGCTGTCTGTCTGCAGTATTTAAAATGAGGTCTTGCGTCGATAAAATATTATCTTTAATATTTCATCGAAACTGCTAATGTTTTTACAGAGCGATCATAGCATACGGATTGCATTGCTGGCAGCCTCATCACATTATGCCGATGTTTTCAAGTTACTGGTGATTGCAACGCCTAGATCCTTTTGTTCCCTAATGCAAGGCAATATCGACCAATCTAATTGGTAAAAGTAGTTTGGCGTTTGAATGATTTACACTTCTAAGTGTTGGTTACCAGGCTGCTGTGTATAGAGCGTCTGATCAATTCATGTGTCTTTCTGTAGTGCTATTGTATCACTATTATGAACAACTCTCCAAACCGTAGTGTTATATGCAAATAGCAAAGCTGATGACTTGGACATACCTGACATCTCATTACCACAGATCAGAGACAAAGGATACCATACTGCGTGCTCTGAAGGGTCGCACTGGTAACCTTTTTCCGGTCACACAATACTCCACTCACTCACCCTTTATCTTTTCTCATGGAGATAGGAAACCACTGTTGCATGACAACATCCATACCGAAACCTACTGTCTTACTTAGTAAGCTCAAGCGCGACACATCAAATGCCTAGCTAAGATCAATAAGTACCCCATCAACAGGGAGTTTATTACCTTCCGCTTACATCCACTCTTTCTTGACTAAAAGCAAGTTCCGTAGGGATTAGCGTCCGAGTCGGAAGCCGTGTTGCTTCTGTGGAAATAAGCCATGGGTTTGCTCTGATTTTTCCTTTGTTATTTTTAGGTGAGTAGGTTTTGTTTTTATTTCTTTATTCGAAACTGGCATTCACCTTTCACTTTTATAAATAAACGTATAAGAACTAGACGTGGATATTTACACCTATTCCAGTTTGCAAGCGAGTATAAATTTCGTAGACCGACGAATATCATCGTTTTTTTAAGTGCGTGCTTTATGTACTCTTGAAGACTCCAGTTGTGTGGACGTTTAGCGTTTATTTTTAAAGTGATTGAGTGCCTTGAATACTTCCCCTACTTTTGATGACAAATCTCTATAATCCCTCACACGGGTCCACGAGTTCGAGTAGAGAGCTTTAATAAGCATGACTTGTTCGAAACTCCACTGTTAGCCGCTGCCACAACACGACAGGGTCAAGTGTCACCTTCAGGTCAAAAATATAACAACTATCGGCCATCGGTAGGTATGTATATGTTCCACAACCTATCGGAGGATAAAAATTCAATTGATTCACCCTCATTTAGATCGTGAACCTGCCTTGTTTTCTCGAACTTGTTGTTCTCTAGCTCCGGTTAGGCGTCAGCTAACTATGTATCCTAGGATCTTGGACACAATGTTAGTCAGACTAATTTCCCTATGGTTGTTCCTTCTTATAAATTCAGATGATCAGTTAAGTAGACTAGTGTGACGGCCCTAATCAGCAATTTCGTACCACCATTCTTGAAAACTTTGGGTGGCAAACTTTTAGGTCATTATGCTTTCCATCGTTTCAGGTTCCATAAAGCCTTAACTTCAAGGAGAGTTGAAGAACCAATATCTACGTCCCATTCAGGTCCAGGCTAGAAAGTTTGTTCAGCCAAACGACCTAGCTGCCTGTCGTGGGAGGTTATCAGCGTTCCATCCATCCGTCGTTTTTTTCTTGCCGGGATGACCGTAAAAAATTGCCACGTGCTACCCAGTGCCGAGTAGAGAGAGACAGGTTTTACTACTGCTTACTTTCTGCATCCACACGAGCCCGTACCAACGCATGATCAAAGTCCAAACTTGTACTTTAGGATAAGCTGAAAACCTCCACCGATCCTCTCCAACCATAGTTTACAGCAATATGATTTATGTGTCCATCATTGGTGTCAATTCGGCTGACACCATATGAGACAGTGTCTCTCCTTACGCCTAAAGTTAGTGCTGGTCAGAAACAAGTAATTGTCAGAACAAATTGTAAAAGGCCATCACCGTTATCGGTTCCCTGGCATGGTATTCCATAAATACCCCTTCAGATACTTTTCCAATTGACTCACCTTCCCTACTTGAGGCTTGCAGTCACCTGACGTTATAACTACATCTGAATGTTTCTCTTTCTGTAACAAAATTGACAGCTTTTCATAGAATTTATCTTTCGCATCATCCGAACTGCAGTCGGTGGGTGCGTAGGTGGAGATTACGAATTAACATCGGTTGGTTTCGTCATCCTTCCTATTTCTTACAGATCCACTCATTCGAATAAAAAGTAAACGGCTGTTGACTAGTATCCAGTCTGGAAGCGCACTTTCTTCACCATAGGTCAATGCTGTACCTACACCAGTGAGTCCACGAGAACTGACCAATGGATACACGTAAAGTGGATTTTGAGGATTCACTACAATGGCCAAGTGGGGCCAGTTTAATAACCACACTCGGGTCCTGTATGCGTGTCTCAGGGGCATAGCATACATCCTTAGCTCAAGATTCCTGAGTTCTGAGGAGCCATGTTTGCTGTCCGATTTGGCATAGAGTTCGGATATTGAAAGCTTCGAAAGGATTATTATTGTTATTTATTATTACTAGGACATAAACATGTTACAGCAAGAACACCATGAAATGTACCATAAAAATAATATAACATTATTTTGAAGACGTAAGTCGAAGGGGAGTAGATAAATCAAAAAGAAGCAAAATAAGAATTGAATGGTTAGAAAGTCAGTCCAGTAAGATACATTCAAAAAAAAACATTGATTGCTTTCAGCGACAGAAGGCAAAAGAAAGCTACAGCGTGATTGGCACTGGTTTCGATTCTGAGCCATATCTCATAACGTTTCAAGCCACTGAGTTGCGTGGTCTCTTGGACTCCACCCGGGGAGTACCAACAGATGCTAACCCGATGCAACTATCCTTCATCCCACGGCTCCAAGTTATACACTAACCACTGGCGCTTCTTTCATCCAGTTCCAGAGCAAGCAAACAGTAAACAGTATGGAAGTACTTGAGACGACATGCGCAACGCTTGTCCAAGTCACCGAAGCCGATCTTTCCAGATTACTTCACGTATTGAGTGACGATCCCCATCATGAGCAAACACACGCTGTTTTTACCTCAGAACTACTTTCATGGTGTTACCAATGGATACGAGCAATCCTACGGAGGCAACGATGGTGGAACACACAGATTCGTCGCACATCCTCAGGTCGGAGAGGCCAGGTTTCAAAGAGGGGGAGGAGAACTGCTCACACTGAAGCGTAGGGAACCCGACCTTTTGTGGTCAGACTAACATCATGACGTTGCCAAAGGTGACTCAGGTTGGCACATGACACTCTCGCTCTCGATATGTGTTTAGATATTTTATCACACCTCCACCACCACCCACACAACTACCCATATACAAGAACTTTTCAACTACTTCCAGTTGCTCACCACCGACGTTGAGCGCGGACATAGGCTCTAGCCAATCTTGCAAGAGTATTTTGAGTTTCGATGGTGCAAAGCAAATACCATACTTACGGACACTAAATCGACAACTGATTAAGTGCAGTTTAAGTTCTATATGTGTTATCGCACAGTAAGACGATGTTGTTCTCATATTGAAGGTCGAACACCCGTTCTCCGTGTAGTATAATGCACCTTCAGAGCTATCTCTAAAATATCATCGATGGTAAAGTTAAAGAGGAATGGAAAAATCGGGAAACCCTGCCTAACTGGTTTGTAGCAATGGAGACAGGTGGTTGTATGTTCTCACTGTATCTGAGGTTCTGTTACATAGAGCTTTCAGGATGTTAGTGAATTCCTCAGACACACCCCTCTCTGACAGACGATTCCTGAGTACTGCTCTTTAACGATTCGAAGGCAGTTCTAATGTTGGCCTTCAATACGTGTTGCAATGTTCAAAAATCTGGCGGTGGGTAAATACACGGTCAATGCACCTACAACCTGAAAAAAGCCCGGTCTGCTCCTCGTGAATCATTTTTTCACGAGTTTTGAAAAGTCTACGAAGTATGGTAGCAGCTAGTATTTTGAACGCAACTGGTAACAGACAAATACCCCGATAATTGTCACATACATTACGTAGATCCCTTTTAAAGATGGACACAATGATGGCCTCATTTTAGAGTAATGAAATCCAGTTTGCCATACCTTAAGTGACTGTAGTCGTTCCTCGATCCTTAAAAAGAGCTGGGGTTCAGTTATCTGGACTGGATTCCTTGTGGCTGTTCAAAACTTTGGGTTCTTTATGGACCTTCGCCTCTCTAGGTGGGTCAGTGTTAACTGAGAATGGAGCACGTTACACTGAAATTGAGAATGGAGCAGTAAACCAGCTAAACTGCTCTTCCAGTGCTCCACCTGGCGTTCCAAGCGTCTTTGAAGACTGTTTATCGGCCTACCGTCTACCTAACGTTCCCCTCTGCCATAAAATCAATGGTGGGTTTTCAGGAGACTACGAATGAGGTTATGGTAGCTTTGATCGTCGGCACTGGTAGCAGAATGAGAGGCTGGAGAAAGAGAAGGAGTTTTAATATTAGTATCAGGAAGTGGAGGTAAAGGGGGAAACAGAGTTGAGGAGGATAGGTTGTGTTTGATTTGATCTTGCGTATTAGTGGGCAGTTGAAACTTCCCGGTTGCCCACACCGCGGAAGGCTAGTACCTGAAAAAGAGAGGATAGTGCGTGACCGCAGAGCCCAGCGGAAATTTGCTTAAGGTTGGTCATACACAGCCTTTTCGCCAGATTAACTACTTTTTATTGGCTTGAGTTATGCTCATTTAATTGACTTTTCTTTTCACTTTCAGATGCCCCTCTACCCTTCACTTGAACATTTGAAAGTAACCAGTTTACTGGAAAGCCAAGGTGGTATGATGCCTGATTTTCAGCCTCCTAGTGAAGAAGTACCAAATCCATCAGCACCGTCAGCCCCATCACACACTGACCTGTTTAGAGCTATGGGCTACGAAATGAACTCATTTTGTTATAACAATTGTGGTGAACTTGTGCCCTCTTTACCCACGAAGCCTGATGAATTTCTTAAGGCTGATAATACAGACTATAGAGCCAGTTCAACGGCTATTTGTACTATTCCGCAAAGTGGACCACTCTCTCTTTTTTATCCTGATCCATTTGACAAAGTAGAGATCAGATCTGGTATTCGACTTGTTACTTTGTGTAAAAATGAGTGTGGTAAAGTTGGAATTCAGTTAAAAGACATTGAGAAGGTGAGTTGTGATTTAAGAAAAAGAAATATTTACAGTATAGAATGTGGTGATATATATTGTTTTATATGCATTATATAAGTGTAGCCTTCTTAGTATGCATATCAAATTAATGGAAGGCTATTAAATCAGCAACAATATCTATTGTTTTTCCTACGAAATTTCAAATTTATCATCCAATTGTATCGTTTAGTGTGTACTCATAAGACGTGACGACTACTTCACTGATAAATAATCAAATGATGGTTCAGTTGACCTTCAGTTATTCCTTTTTTGAATGATACACTCTAACTCAATAATTACATTGGGTTGGAATACTAAGTTTGATGAGCGAAATCTGTTTAATGATCGAGGGTGGGCTGATCAAGAACGTTCACCACTTTGCTCACTTGCAGAGTTGCATCAGTCCGAACGGGTTGGCTGCTGACGAAATCTCAGCTCGGATACAGAGGCCGCGACTGGTATTCGCAAAATTGCGTCATCTGGGGCGCCAACTGGTGAGATATCTGACTATCTATCAAAGGACGAGTATACTGCACTGCTGCAGTCCTCTTTTTCCTTATATACAGCTGTGAAACATGGCCGTTAAAAGTAGAAGACATGAAGTGGTTACAGGGTTTTGATCACAAGTGTCTACATAGAATTGCTTGCATTTAGTGGAATCACTGAGTGAGCAATGTTGAAGTCTGGTGGAGGGCACTCTACAAGGTAAGGAATTGTACTGATGAAGTTGTGAATGTTGATCGACTGAGGTAGCTTTGTCATGTGTTGTGGATGTCGATCCACCTCTTGTGTCGAAGTGGCGTTCTGGAATATGCTGGATTAAGTAGGAAGAAGATTGAGGGTGATCAGGCCATGTGAGATGTGAGATCAGTTGATGAGCTGTTTGTCTGAGCTGTGTTGGGAGATGTAGAGTGGTTGGTTGATGTCCTGGAGATGAAAGAACTTAGTGGTTGAGAACTCATGGTGATGTGGTTGAAAACCGGTTACAGTAACGCAGATATATTCACTCTTTTTGATGTCTTCTAAAGCTTGAATGTTGTCATTTACCTAAATCTTTAAATTGTTTGTTCTGTCACACAACTTTGTCTAGTTCGATATCACTTTTTTCCTATCCACCTGTTCTTTATATGCCATGACGAAGTTTGGCAAGTTGAACTGATGCACCTGTGAATTAGGTTCCACGTTGATTTTGACTGTCTGTTTGACATCAATTGCTTAAGGTTAATGATATTACCTGACTTCAAAATCTTTTATTGTATAAGTGACTAATTGGCGTAAGCATTTATTTTTCAAGCGATTGATGTCGGGTTCAAATTCCGCTCAAATTTGTTCGATCGAGGCAACTACGACTCCATAAGTGTGTCTCATAGCCTCGTATATAACCATGTACCGGAGAGAGTTACATTACCATCATCATTATTTATTATTATTATCATTATTTGTCCCTTGGGTTCCTAGTGGAACAGAGGGCTTCAGTAGCACGTCTCTAGTGCACTCTGTTCTCTGAAATCTTTTGAACCTGGCTCCACGACAGCCCACAAGCTTTCATTTCCTCCTCACATAATCTCCTCCATGTCAGCCCTGCCTCGGACCCCCAACTAGTCATTTCCCATTTCGGTTCCACTCGAGGGCCTGGCGCGTGATGTCCCCAGTCGGCCTTCCCAGTGTATGCCCAATCCATCTCCACTTCCTTATGCATATTTATTGAGTGATGGGTTCTTGGTTGGTTCTTTGCCAGAGTTAGTTCCCTGTTACTTATTATTATTATTCTGGTCATCTGATCTCCAGTAACGAGCCAGCTTAAGCAGTTGTTGGTGAATGTCTGTGGTTTGTTGATAAAGGTTTGTGGTATTCCGTAGTGTTGAAGCAACTGCCAAATTACTTCTCGGTCAGCGCTGTCAAAGGCCTTTTCAAAGTCGATGAAGTTGAGGTAGAGTTGAGTTGACTGACATTCTGTGCTCTGTTCTATGATGATGCGTAGGGTAGCGTTGTCATTTGGTCCGCACATGATTTGTACTTCCTGAATCCAGCCAGTCTGTTCGGGTCGTAGTTTTGAATCCAGCGCATCCTTTAGTCTCTCCAGGATGATATGGATTAATATTTTGCGTGGGGTGGACAGGAGCATGGTTCCGCTCCAGTTCTTGTTTTTACGAAGACTTAGGTCACCCTTCTTCGGGAGTTTGACAAGGTAGCCCTTCTTCCAGTCACTCGGCAGGTGCCTTTCCTTCCTTCCAATCCTACTGCAATAGTGGTGTGAGCATGTCGTCTGTTGTCCCTGCGTCCGCTCTCAGTGCTTCTGGAGGGATTTCATCTGGTCCTGCTTTCCCGCATTTCAGTAGCTTTATGGCGTTCAGAACTTCGACTTTCGTCGGAGGGCTTGTGTTCACTGCTAGTTCTGTGACTGCAGGTGGTATTTCTGGACGAAGTGCAGGTGGTGGTCGATTCAAGAGCTTTCTGAAGTGGTCAGCCCATTGTTTCTTTTGTTTCGCTTTTTAAGCAATTATATTTCATTCATTATCTTTTATTGGTTTCATCTGTGTTGATCTCTTCCCTCCCAGATAGTAACCTGGTTATTGGATACAATGTTGTCTCTCTCTCTCCTACCTGCGGCCTGTACTGCTTCACTTGCCAATGTGTCGTAGAAGTGTCTTTTATCTTTGTGCGTACTCTTCTTCACTTCTTTGTTCAGTGTTTTATACATTGTACTCAGTTCTTCTTCTCGTTGTGCATCCTTGCACTGGTTTATCTTCTGCTTCACCATCCTCCTCTCCCTGCTCTATCAGCTTCCATGTGTCCGTCAAGATCCATTCCTTATCTTCTTTCCTCTTCCTTCCTAATACGGCTATGCAGGTTTCTTTCCACGTCTTTTTCAAAGACTTCCAGTGTTCATCCACACAGTTTTCTTCACGGATGTTCCTCAATATCTCCCATTTTGTCTTGATGGCTGCCGTGAAGATGTCCTTCGGAGTTCCATCCTTCAGATTCTATCCTAGGTGTTGAACTTGAACTGTCGCCGTCTATCCCCAAATTCTTTGAAGGCTTTTAACTTGATTTGGAAGGTTCCTTGCACTACATAGTGAGTGGTGTGAACCTACATCTGTTCCTCTTCCTGATCTTGTGTTCAGCAGGCTGCGTCTCCACTTTATTGAGATTGAGATAAAGTCGATCTGATTTTTAGTGTAATGTGTCCTGGTGTCTGGCGAAATCTATGTCGCTTTGTGGATGTCCTTATGCTCGTACACAGTGCCTCCAATCACCAACTCGTTGAATGCATAGAATTCTACAAACAATTCTCCATTCTCGTTCATTTCACCTAGCGCTTCTCGACCCATGGTTAGTTCTCTTCCTGTGTTGTCCGTTCCCAGTTTGACATTCATGTCGCCCATTAGAATTTTGATGTCGCCGACTGGAGTGGGGCATTGTCCAGTATTGATTGCAGTTGTCTGTAGAATTCCTCCTTCTTCTCTTCATCTGCATTATTTGTAGGTGCGTATCATTGTACGATTGTGACTTTCCGCCCTTTCGAGTTGAACCTTGCTGTTATGATGCTGGAGGAGGGCCTTCGATGCTGTTAGGGACATCATGATAGCTACTCCACAACTCAGTCTGCTCGTGGTTGTCGTCTGGGTGACCGGAGTAGATTATAGATTCTCCAGTTGACAGTTTGGAGAGTCCACTCCCATTCCATCTGCTTTCGCAAATTCCAAGCACTTCAATGTGATTTTATTTTTTATATTTTGTTTGTGCTTTTAAGTTTGTTTAGCGGTTGGATTAGTTTTACGGGTTAGGGTTACTAGCCGTATGCTCAACCTTCCCCCTTTACCCAGGCTTAGGACTGGCTAGTAACTAGTTAACCAGGCGAGGTTATCAGCATTATGACCTACTCAAATTCCAATAGGTGGAGTATAGTTTGCATTCGTAGCCCACCTTTTCAAGTGTGAATGTCTAATGCAGCAGAATAAGGTATACTGATTCTGAAAGTTAAGAATAAGTGAACTTTACTTGGTCTGTTCACAATATTTTTTCTGGAAGATATTTTATATCTGTGTCCAAAAATGAGGGATACATATCGAATCAACATCCTGTGCAAAAGGACAGAAAACAAAAAAGCCAATGGAAAAGAAGGCAAATTTATTATCAAGCATAGAACTATAGATTAGTGTACATTTGTTATCTATGTATAATTTCTTTTATACAAGGTATACAAGGCATTGCTAAAACACATCAAAGAAAGAAAGATATATTTTAGTCAGTTATAGTATTTATTTCAAGAAATAATATACTTGCAAGTTATTTTATAGTATTATTTGTAACTAATTGTTAGAGTTTTTTCCCTGACCAGTTAATTGTTATATTTCCTGCCTTATATTAATAAAAGCAGTAGTCAATTAATCATAAACTATATCTCTCATTTTATAGCCTAAATAACTGACTGTCTTGTATATTTCTTATGTATTATGTACAATTTGTTCTTCTGTATAAACATGTATGACCTAAAATTTAACAAGAAGCTGTTATAAAAAGGGTTACAAATTTTTTTTCTTGCTTTCACTTTCGTAAGTAATTCTTAAGTGTAGAAAAAAGCTCAGATAAATATGGCAATATTTACACTATGAGGCATAAATAAACAAAGTGGTGGCGTTACACTTTAAAGACTACTCGAATAGCTGATGAAACAACTATTAAACTTTGTGTATTTTGCGAAAAATCTACATTATTTCCTAGGACATGTTCTTTAAAGTTGTTATATTCGCGTAGTAGTTTATTACTGTTGTAACAAATACTAACATCCAATGTGAATCGTTTATTTTATCATTAAATCAGTTCAGCGTTTCGTACTTGAGACTTGATTACAAGTTGGGAATTATTTGTCGAAGAAAATAACAAGGAAGTGAAATATGCATTTCATACTCTACTGTGTATTGTATCATTTTTCAGACTGAAAATCATCGTGTTTATTTCTTTATGCCATTAAAATATGGAACCCTTTTTATGAAGTA